TTAAAATTGTTATCCAGTTAATTTGTGTGTATAACTTGTAAATATTTGTTCCTTTAGTTATATTATTTGTTTATTACATTTTGTTTGTATCGAATTTAGCTTCTGATCAAGGAATGTACTGCCTGGGACGTGCAGTCCTTGGTAGGGGATAGTGTTATGAAATATCCAGCAGTGGTGACATAGCTTCCATGCAAAGCAGGTTTAGGGTAGCCAGAAAATGGCAAGGTTGCCATATTTGGCGGTAAATTGCTTATTTGGCGACAAAATTGGCGATATGGCATAGATGGATGGAGAACCTTCTGGAACGAATTCTTAATGGTTTAGCTGAGAATGTTCTTGAACACAAGCCAAAAAGCTACATAAACCCTGCTGGTACACGGAGATTCAGTGCCCAGTGGAGTCAGTTAATAATCAGTCAGTGAGTGTCTCGTAGTCTAGCACCAAGTTGGTCATCGAGTGCATCAAGAAAATCTCTTAGTTTATCGACGAGTTTTTATCTTACAGAATGACCAAACAGAGTCCGAAGCTGCACTCTAGTGTATCGTTGAGTGCATTGCGAGTTGTAGCATGGAGAGTCTCAAGAGTGTGTAGAGTTCCGAGAACGAATCAGGAGCTGTACTCTGGTGCTTTGTCGTGAAGCTGTCTTCACCATTATAGCCTGATGGCTGTGTCGCAGATTGTTTCAGCATATTTATAGCAGTTCTTCGATGCCTGTAAACGTGATTTTGTTGCTGTCTTGAGTAATACTGCTTAATAAATTGTTTCAATAATTCAAGTACTGTTCTCATTATTCACTCCAAATCCACAAACCCGTACATTATGAAGAAACGTAACATAACCATAAAAACCTTTTGAAAAACTTTCCTTGTTTTTTCTGAACTACAGATCAAGTCTTTTTCTCCTCTTTTTCGGTAGTGAATTGATCTTTTTCTATTGCAATCAGATAAGTATATCCAAGCCTCATCAATTGTAACTATATATTTCCATTTTTCATATGCCAAGTAATTTTCATACAGCAATCTGCAAATAGTCTTATGCTGAGAAACATTTTTCGACATTAGGCGATGAACATTATTATTATTTTTTGCTTCGATTAGCTTTAAATCAGATTTTATAATTTTGTCCATAATTCCCACAGAGATTTTGCAATTGCTCTTGGAGGTGGATTTTCCTTTAAAACATTATATGCAACTTTAGATTTAATAAGAGCCGTATGTTATCTTTGTTGGGTATGCATTTTTTGACTTTTTTCCAGTCAGATGTAAACTTTCATATTTCTTTATTTTCATATTAATTATGTCCCTCATTTTATGTGTAGAAGTATTAAAACCATGCTTTTCACATCTTTTTTTAATAACTGAATAAGAGTATTTCTCTTCCGACAATGAAAAACTATAGCCTTTGATTTCTTGTTTATTTTTCAGTGACATTTTAAAGAAAAGAATATTTTTAATCCTGGAGACGATAATTAAACCTTCTTCCAATTTGATACCAGTCATGTTTGTATTTTAAAATTAATATTTAAATCCATGGAGAAAATCAAAATCGTTACAAAAATATGTAAACACCCTCTATAAATGTATGTCAAGGCTGTAATTAAAACTCTGCAAACTACTCGGCATAGACAAAACCCAAAGGGGTTTACAATGCCTTTACATCCGCAGTAACGAGGCATGGTAGAGAGGCTTAATCGAACCGTCCTTAACAATCTCTCACTGATGGTTTCCAGAAACCAGCAAGACGCAACCAGAAGTTACCCCTGTTCTTACTGGTCTACTGCAGTGCTGTCCATGAGACTATCAGCTATTCCCCATTCCAGATACTTTTAGGTTGGGACCTTTGCATGCCTTAAGGAATTTTATTTGGTTACATTTGTTTGAATATGCCCCATCACCTGAGGAGTATATTCATGATCTGTAAGCGTGGTTTGAAGTAATGCACAATTCTGCACGAAAGTGAGGAATGGAGTAGGAGAAGTACTTGGTGATGGAGAAGATGAAGACCTGATTCCACATGAGAGCTACAGGACATCGATTCAATCCAATTCGATGGAAAGGACATTCTCTTTAACTACAGTCATTCTGGTATGGTCTTACACAGTTCTAAACAGGTTCAGCAGGATTGTACTTCATGTCATCAAATTCTAAAGTCATTCCTTATGACAGGCTAGCCCCTTACTATGGGCACAGTATGTAGTCCCCATACTGTATACAACTTTGTAAATTTATGCATTCATTTATTGATTAGTGTTATGTTATTTATTGAAATTATTGCTTTAGTACCACATTAATTTTTCTTAGTTAAGTATTGCTTCCTGTCCAGGGAAGTACAAAATTCTTAACACTGCTCCCTTCTCAAGGACTGCATGTCCTGGGCAGTCCTTGAGAAGGGAGCAGTGTTAAGAATTTTGCACATATGTAAATAATTTTAGCAAAAATTATATGTGAAACTGCAATATCTTTTGAATAATGCAACATGAAAAGTCTAAAGAGACAAAGTTCTACCAGAAAAACAACATTACAGGGGAAAGCCTATTTATATTGAGGTAAATGGCTATTTCACCAAATTGGTGAGATATTGGCAAGTTGGCGATGGTTTTGGTAATTAATTTTACTGGCCAAATTTGGAGAGAAATCGCCAAACCTGGCAATGATTTGAAGACATTTTGGTTAGATCTCTGTATAATTGCAATTGATCCTTTATCTGGCCCTTATATGTAACTTTAACCATATGCCTTCTAGTAATTTTGAAAAATTTCAGAAGTTAGGGGAAACTAACCAAAAACAGCTAAGGCCAACTACAGAGTATTGAGAAACTCAGTGTGAGCTTTGGTCTTTAAGTGCACTGCATTTAACATTCTTAAGAGTTTGAAGTGTAACTACTGATTGTATGCTATGATACTGAGAACAGCTGTACGAGTTCTTTTGTGGAAAGTTCCAAAACTGCAAAGTGTTTCTTTTGGAAGATAAATTTTTATCAAGCTATCATTGGTTCTGTGTGTATTGAATCCACTATAAAACTGTGCACACACAATAATATATTTATAGTTTTGAAGTCACAGTGATCTGGTGTTTTTAGGATTGAAGTTGATGTTATCTATTTCTACCCCCCATCCCCAAAAGAAAGGCTTTAGATTTTAAATTACTTCCAAAGGGGCATTTTTCCATATTCTGTGCATTACCTTTATTTATTAAATCTTCGCACTTAAACCATAAAATTCAGTTCAAGAGCAATATCACAAAATAATTTTAAAATGAGTATATCTTTAGAATTTCTGATACACAGAGTCACGTGCTGGAGATAAAAATGTTTTTTCTGTATAACATTGCCATTGCTCGCTTTGAAATCTTTGAGTTTGTTAATCAAAAATTCATTAAAGTTTTACAAAATATGAAATCAATAATAAAACAAATTTCAAATTTGGGCTTCCAGATGCCCATATTTGGGTGCAAATGTTCAGTATTTAAAATTTGATGGCTCTAGGTACCATTGCTTTATCACAATGCGAGAAACATACACACATTTATGCAGATTCTTCATTATTTAATTTCTTTAAATATAATACAGGGCGATAATATTTGGTGGCAACAATTTGAAAAGTGAAACAATGCTTTTAGTGAATCGATGCAAAAATACCAAAACAAAATTAATAGGCCTATTTCGCCAAATTTTAATAATAATAATAATAATAATAATAATACTGCATTATCTCTCATTCCTCCTTGTATAATTTTAACTAATCATCTTTATTTATTTATAAAAACAGATATCATTTGGAATTCCAAGTTGTCTTCCTCTTCTTTGGCCTGTTTATTCAAAAGATATTCATATATTCAGTAACACATAACAATAGATTAGTTATGAAAGAAAATAATTTTTTTTTTGGCTTATGGTTACATGAAATGTTATCAAAATTTCATGAAATTTCTTTTAAAATATTTATTTTCTTCAATAACTTTCAAGTAACTTTCCACTGCAATGTAAACCCTTAGCAGCTTTTTCGAAGGCTTTGACACAGCTATCTTTTGTTTCAATATTCAGCACTGTTAAGCAAGAATTTCTGGGATATGGTTACAAAGCTGATTCTTTTTCCTTTCAGCTTTATTTTCATTTAGGAAAGATGAAAAAATTGCAATTAGGCAAAATTTAAGGAGCAAGGTGAATGAAGGTTACAACTGTTACCTTACTGAATTCCAAAAACTGCCACAGATATTTGTGATAAAAAACTTTTTATAAATCTTACAACTTATGTTCAGTTTGCTTAATTAAATTTATTACCTTCCAGCAACTTCTCAAGCACCCTGAGTCTTGCCTGTTACCTTTCAGGATAATTTTATATACTTCTGCAAGATTTTCTAAGTTTTATATGCTCATCAAGGATCATTTTCATTTGATATCTCACTGCTTTTAAAAGAATTAAAACACTGATAGGCAGCCATCTAATAAAAATCAATTTTGCCTAATGCTTTCTGAATCTCTCTCTCTCTTTTTTTTTTTTAATTCGCAACAAAATATGAGCACATGCTATTCCTAGAAATCAGCCATTTTAATATCTAATGAATTGCAGAACACACCAAATATGATATTAAAAAACACTCATAGGGGAAAAAAAATTCTGAAATGCGTTTGATGTAACAGTTTACATTTTAGATGCAAAACCAAAATTTGAATAAACTTTAATTATATTAATTTTGAAATCTAAATAACTAATACCAGTTTCATGCATATTATTAATAAAATGATCAATTTTTTAAAATTTTTCATGGAATTAAATTTAAGATAATGTAGAAACATTTTCATATAAATGTGCTTACATAAATAAATACTTTTTTAAACATTTCGAAAAACCTAACTCATATGTACATATTATCACTTCACATATCATCAGAATGCAAACGGCAATGAGAAATAATCTCTGGCTTTATTACATAGAAGCATTTCGTATAATATAATGAAAATCCTTATAAGATTTCATCAGAATTCATATATAATTGACTTACCTGGAAGAACATCAGAACTCAGCTTTTTGATTGCTCTTTCTAATAACAGTCTACCCCTTGTCAAGGTTTTCAAAAACTGCGCTTCTTCATCATTTATGATATCCATGATCTACCATGGAAAAAAAAGGGGTTAACTGAAAATGATTTTATTGAAAGACAAAAAATTTAACATGCTGAATAATAAATGCAAAAATACAAATTAAGAATTAAAATTATAACATTTTGAACTGGAACTCAATGATCATAAAATTGCATCACTAATTGCCATTGCACCCTCAGAATTTTATCTCAAAAACCACAATGAAATTTTCCAACATTACAAAACTCAATTTTGGATAACCATTTATAAATCTGCTAAATTATGACTGAAAACTATCATCATACGGAAAATTGCAATAGTGAACAAGAATTTCGTCACAGAAAAATAACAGTTAATTTTTAAAATATTCAAACATACCGATTTTTAAGACGCACTTCAATTTTTGTTATCACCTGAGCTTTAGAGTGACACTACCAGAGTATATAAATGGTCCGGGAATGCGTGCGTATGCTTAAAAAGTTCAATTATATTTGCAGGTATATAAAAGTTTAAATTACATGGAAATTCAAAAATCCTGGTTAAAAAAAAAAAAAGTCAGAAAAAGTCTCTAAGTTTTGGGAGACGAGATAACCACTGAAATGTTGCTATACATCAGTCTAGAATTTTTAAAAATCCTTATTATTAATGCAATAAATAAGACTTACACACCTTAGAAATAAATCGCCTAACCATGATTAAAAAAGAAAGTAAAATTAAAAGGGGTATTTTTCTAGAACCACCAATTAGGAGATTATTACTTGAGTCATAAATTCAATTATCATTTGAATCCAAACAAAGGTGGGGCTTGGCAGTCTTTCAAAAATGTGGTACTCATGTATTAACGGCACCGCACTTACATATTAACACCATCGCAGCAGAAGTTGCGCCAATAAAGAGCAATCCTGTTCTTCGCATGCAGTTATCTTTTGAATTCCTTTTTGCCTTGTTGTTTGCTGATTTTTGACACCATTTTTTAGTGCTACGAAAATGCGTCTTTGGGATTTTCCAAACACAGAAGAAAATGCAATTTTATTTTTTTCAGGAGCAAAATATTTTACCCCAAAAAAAAAAAAAAAAAAAAGTACCAATTCACATGATATGAAACTTATTTTGGTATATGTACATTTTGGAAATGTAATTTAAGACAGTGTGATCAGCAAGTGACTCTTAGAAAAGATAACTGGTTTGAAGGAAGCAGAATTCCATTTTGTTCAGCTTCGAGATTGATATACTGCTGGTGCGAGGAGATGACATTGATTAAATTTTGTGATAAGCAATTTGATTTATCAGATAAAACTATTATAGATTGGAACCAATTACATGTGTGAATTATGTGCCTTGGATATGGATAATAAGCCAAACAAGAAGGTAGGTGGACCAGATTGCATTGTGGAAATTGATGAAAGTTTGTTTACTAAGCTTAAAAATAATTGTGGTCGAGTATTTCCTGAACAGTGGGAGTTTGGTGGTATATGTAGAGAAACAAAAGATTCGTTTGTTGTCACTGTTCCTAATAGAACTATCTGGCTCTACCCTTTTTAATAAAATTATTGAAAACATTGCATGAGATGGTAGCACAATTTATTCTGACAGTTGGAAAGGTTACCAAACAAATAGAACAGAAAAAGGATTCCTACATGATAAAGTTAATCATAAATACAATTTTATTGATCCTGATACAGGAGTTCATTCGCAAACAGTTGAGAGATGTGGGACAGTGCTAAATGGAGGAACAAGAGATACAGGAGGACAGCGAGACATCATTTAGAATCTGTTTTAGCAGAGTTCATATGGCGACAGCATCAGGCCAAAGAAAATAAAGACTGTTTTGAATCTATGTTAAACTTTATATTGGCCCATTTTCCACCAAAATCTGACTGACTACTTTGATTTTAAATAAAGTGTTTTAATTTATGATTTGTCGCAAAAATGTTAGATGCAGATTGGCCTGCAGCCGCAGTGGCGTTAATATGCAAGTACCAAAAATGTTTGCAAAAACTTCCTGGGAAAGTGTGGGCAGAAAACTTCTAAATATGAAGCTAAGGGGTGTAGTAAGTCCGGACTCAACAGCACCTTACTGATTTTGAATTTTAGAATTTTGGGAGTTTTAATAATGAGCTTAAAACTTGTAAGATGATATGTAGAAATTATAAAATTTAAGCTAGAAATAGTTGTTTATGAAAGAATGAATCATTTATGATCATAAAAATAATATATGTTTTAAAAAAGCTCATTACTTATATGTTTGCTTTTTGAACACTTCTAGTAAGTTGTTTAAGTTATTTCCCATTATTTCTTACTCAGTTATGAAGTTCCAGTGTTCACATCCTCTGACTGCTCAGATGAGAATTCCTACAACTGAAATTTTTTCATTCTCAGCAACCTCTTTGTCACAATCTTCATTATTGGTAGCGATATTTTCTGCATTTAGAACCATAATACAGATTTCAAGTAGTGTCTCGTTTTACATAGCTTAATGCTTAGCTAGCACCTTCCATACAATATTAGCAATTTACCATGAGATTAAGCATTATCTAAGTTTTAAAAAAAGAAACAAATACCCACATATATTTAAGGCTTATCTAAATAAAATAAGTTATTCTTCATTCAAACAGCACTAAAAATCATTTGGGCCGTGAATATCATTTACAGATCTATTTTTCGCATATAGGAAGAAATTTTTTCTTGTCAACACACTCACTTTGCAGTGCAGTTGGTTGAAGTCCGCGAAATGCAATGTGAGTATAAGAGGTTATCACGCTGTTTGATAGTCAATTACTAATACTTCTAAAAACTGTTTTAGATATTGCTGCCTAAGCCATTCCTCAAGCTGCTATGATTTGATTGTCACGTGATGAAAGCATAAAATAATAAAAGAATGATAGCCAGGTCAGCATCAGGGATATAGTAAGTTACTAAGTGTAAAATCAGAAATGAACTTTTGTAAATCAGTTTGAGATGAAGCAAAATGGCAGCTATGGAGCTAACATATTACTGCTAGAACGGATTTAAGCTAGTTAACGATTGTGCTTCTTTAACATGATGGTGTTTTATTTAGTGGCAAACTGAAATTAAGAATCTGAAACTTTCTCATAGTTGTTGCAAAAAAATGTTTACCTCATATGAGTGAAGCATTAAGCATGTATTAAAGCGAGACCCTACTTTTGGAATTTAATTCTTTCTTCCTTTATTGCAAAAAAAAAAAAAAAAAAAAAAAAAAAAAGGAGTGTGGTGCGGAGGTTTAGATATTAGATCATTGCAGATTTCAGACTTTGTACTGTATTATATGATTAAAACTTCATTTCCTGTATCATCTTTTAAGAAATTTTTATCTTATTCATTTCAAAGAAGCAAACAATGACCATGATCAACATTTTATTGAGAAATTTCTGATGAAGAGAAACGATATCAAAACCTTTTAAATTCTAACATACTTGCTGATTTCTGATGGATAAGAGATCACCTTCAGATTGGATATATTAGAAATCGCATAATCTATAATTTTTTCAGGTGATAGTTTTCTTTCAATGCATATAAAGTTTATGTATACTAATATACATTTTAGTTATATATTGCAAAAATTCTTTGCATTATAACGAAATAATTCTAAATAATACCTGTATTTAACAAAAGAAATGGTATCAGTTAAAAAAAAGGGTTAACTGTTATAATTTTGATCCATGAGGAAAAAAAGGTGTTTCTCAGTAATAATTTAAACATAAACATATTTTTAAGATACCAAAGCATAAACACAAAAGCTAAATTCATGCAAAGCAAAATTATTACTTACATAAGATTTTGCTGACTAACCTATGTAATTTTCTATGTTTTGCAAAGAAATGTATTGGTTGATTATATTTTGGTTCATGTATAACAATTATGCCAATATCTGATAATGTATACTTTAAAACAGTTCATAATTATTTAGAACATACAATTCATACAATAATTCTCTTCTATTTATTTGTACTGCAGGTCTGTTAAAATTAAACCATTAAATGCTGTAAAACTTTATAGACAGTGCTCATTTACTATAACGATAAAACCTCATATATTTCATTAAAAAGAAAAACACTTTTAATCAGAGTATTTACCTTTGAATGATTGAAATCTCATTTACCAAAGTATATCACTTCATTTTTATCAGTATGTGAACAGCAGAAAAATATAATCATAGGTTTCCGACAACTTAAATAAGATAGCTATTAAAAAGAAAGCAATTTTTATATTTTTTTTCAAGAAAATTTAATGGCTGAACAATTTTGATTCAAGTATACAATAATGCCAATATAGGATTATGCTTACTTTAAAGTAGTTAATAATATTTAGTTATAGAAATGAATGCTTATATTTTTTTCTGAAATAAAATTTTCAAAACTTTTAAATTCCAATTTGTAGAAATATTACTAAATAGCTTTCACACCAAAGTAGGGCGTTTTTTTTCTTTTTTTTGGGGGGGTAACTTTAAAAGTTTCACTTTTGAATGACTAAAACTTTATTGGTCTAAGCATATCAACAGATTTTATCAGAATGTGAACAGCAGAATAATATGCACAAAGGTTTGAACAACTAAATGATCCAGACATTTAAAAGAAAATAATGCTTATGTTTCTGCAAGAAAATTTATTGGCTGACTATTTTTTGATTCATGTACATCAATTATGCCAATATTTCACAATGTACACTTTAAAGTTGTTTGTAATTATTTAGTTATAGAACAATAATTCTCTTTAATTCATTTTGTAATATAAAACTGTTAGCATAAAAACTATACGTCTTCAATGGAAATATCCACTTACTAATGATAAAACCTCATATATTTAATTAAAAAAAAGCTTTTAATCAGGACATCACTTTTGAATGATTGAAACCTTATTTATCTAAGTATATCACCATTTTTTTTTATATCAGTATGTGAACAGCAACAGCAAAATACAATCATAGATTTTCAACAAATTAAATGAGAGAGCTATTAAAAGGAAAGCAAGTTTTATGTTTGTAAAAGAAAATTTAATACAGTCAAAAGTCGT